GGCCCCACCTGCCCTTGGCTTTCTTCCTTGCGGGCGCCCCCGCCCTTGCACCCGCACCGCCCGCGCCCGCGCCGGCCAGCTCGCGCCGCACCAGCGCCAGGGACTCCCATTTGGTGCGGTTCAGGAAGCCATAGGACGCCTTGCTGCTCACCACGTGCTTCCCCGGGACGCCCTCAAGCTTGAACCTGGGGGTGCGAGGATTTTGGGCGGTTTGAGAGTCTCAGGGTTTTGGTGGGCGGACAGGCGAGCAGGCGTCGTGCTGCGTCAGACCGCCTGTGAGCGGGGTGCCATCGGAGCGCTTGAGTCGAGATCGAGGATTGCTGAAGGCCGCGTCGTCCGTTGCATTGTTGGCAGGCATCTGCAAAATGGTGCAGATCCAGATCAGAGAGTGCCTGATAGACCACAGGGTGCCCGCCAGATCGCGCTGAGCCCCTCCCCACGTCCACGTCCGTGCCTGCAGATCAGGGGGCCGTCGTTGGACTTCTCCATCTTGGCCTGCACCACCTTGTAGAGGCCTTCATATACATAGATGCGCTCGTTGTTGGGGCCGACCTGGAATGTAGTGGGTGCCGCCGGCGGTGTGAGTCAATGAGATCGAGTGCTTTGGTCGCATGTAGGTCTCCTGGAGGCGACGCTTTCATCGCGCAAGAAAAGGGAGGGATGCAGCACGACCGTGCGTTGCTTGCGCGCGTGGGTGGAGGGGCGGACGCTGGCCACGAGTTTAGGCGGCTGTCACGCCCCAGCAACGCGGCACGCCCGCTGGAGAGGGCTGCCTCGCCTTGAATGCCCCTCGCCCTGAATGTCAATGCGGCCTGAAAACGCGCACACACACACATGCCAAGCACATACACACGCGCGCACACGCGCACCCACCTTGCCGCGTATGACGCGCACAGGCTTCCCCGACTGCACGTTGTTCTGCAGCGCCAGGTTGCCACCCTTCCACTCCTGGTCACACACCTGGTGGGGTGCAAGTGCGGGTGGTAGTGTGCATGAAACCTGGATGCCGTTGTCGTCCAAAAAGAAAGGGGGAGTGGTGGAAGGATGGAAGAGGAGGGGCAAGGCAGGGCCGCGGAGGGGAGAAAGGGTTTCAAAGGAGGAAGCTGACCAGGCTCAGGAGAGAGGTTGCGCATGTGGATTGCTGCTGCATGCAGGTGCTGGCAGGCGCAGAGCGGGGCTCCTTTCGGGTGCAAGGGGTGGTTGGGGGTTCGAGGCAGGGCACAAGGCCGCAACGTCACTGGCCGGGCGCCCACACGCAGCCGACACAGACCCCCCTCCTGGGCTGAAGCCAAACTCGCCCTGGATCCCCAGCCAAGGTGTGTCTGCAATATCAGAAATAGGATTGCATGCACACACACACGCTCGCACACAAGAACACAGCCACATGCTCTTAGTACAAAAACAAGCGTGCGCGCACACACACACACACACACACATGTAATCACATACACACACTCTCTCTCTCTCTCACACACACACACGCGCACATGCACACACCCTCGCACATACGCACACACAAAGTACACATGTGCCCACGCACACGCACACCGCCAGGCCGCCCACCTGCTTCTTGGCACCTTTCTGGCCACCCTCTCCCGTGTACCACATCTCGCTGCCTGCGCGTCCACAGCGCACGAAAGCGCACACAATCAGAAAGGGTGCTCTCTACCTTCAGACAGCGCAGGCACCGGCCAGCCTCGACTCCCTTGTCTGGACTCCTGACGGGCCCTTCACTGCCAGCAGCCAGCACCCCTTCGCGTCTATGGCCCAGGGGTATCCCAGAACACCCTGCCCAATCCCCTGGGCACCTTCCTCCCTCAAGAAGGACAATGGCGTGTTCGCCCGCCGCCCCTGCAGCCTGTCCCCACCTGTGTCGTGGTCGTCTTTGTATCCCCCGGACAGCACAATGGCGTATGCCCCCTTGGCCAGGGCGTCCGCCTTGGTGTCAATGCCCTGGTGTGCGCGTGTGTGTGTGCGTGTGTGCGTGTGTGTGTGTATGTGTGTGTGTGTGTGTGCGTGCGTGTGTTCGCATGTGTGGCGCCGCGGGCCGCAAGCCAGCGCCCAGGGGTCAGAGAGACGCTGCCCACTTCATGACCCGAAGCTCATGCAGCACCAGTCCGCGCGCGGCACCGCCGCTCGCGTGCGCGACCTGCCGCGGCTCCGCGCCGCCCCTCGCCCCTCGCACCCGCATCATCTGCGTGTGCAGCCCGACGATGGCGACCTCCCCACGGCCGTGCCACTCGCTCCCGATGCGCACGCCAGGGATCTCCCCGAAGCGCGGCGGCTTGAGGCGGCCCTTGGTCTCCTTGAACGCGATCATGTCGGGCTTTGCGCGCTGCGGCAGCGGAGGGTGCGCGCACGTGTGTGTGTGAGTGTGTGTGTGTAGGAGGACTGGGGCTTGTAACAGGCAGCAGCAGACCAGCAGACACATTGAGCGGGTGCAGGCCTGGCGACTTGCGCCTGAGCGGGCGTGCCCGCGGTCTCGCGAGTGCCGCAGGGGCGCCAAGGGCCGACACATGCGTGTGACCCCCAGACTGCCCGAGGGGCTTGATCAGATCTTTGCGCCGCCTGTGAGACCACCTAGGCCGCGCTCACCCCCTGGTCAATGTTGACTTTGAGCCGCTTGTTGTATTCCCTGATGGTCTCGGCCACCTGCTCAAGACATGAGTGGCCAGTGCAGATTGTTTTAACAGACGGTTGCTCGACTATTGGACGCCGCAGACTGTCCCCACCACGCCCACTAGCTCGCGTGCCAGCCGCAGCTCACAAAAGCCCGTGGCGGCGGGCATGGACGAGCCGGCGCAGGCGGTGGCACAGCTGTGCACATGCCGTTGCCAGCGGGGCGGCGGCGGCTGCGCGGGCAGCGGGGCGGGGGCGGCTGCGCGGGCAGCAGGGCGCTCGCACGGGCTTCAAGTCAGAGTGCGGCGGGTTTTAAAACAGCAGCCGCGCGGCGCCGCTCTTACGTATTGCTCGTCTTCGCCCCGCGGGTCGTCCAGCTGTGACCTCCCGCCGCCCGCTCTGGGGGCGAGCCTGGCAGCCTGCTGTGGCTGCTGCGGCCGCTGCGGCGGCGCCTCTGGCAGCCTGCTCCCAGTCGGGCCTGCATCGCCGGGTGCGTCATGGGCGCTGGCGCCGCTGCCGTTCTCGCTGCCCGTCCCCACCTCGGCGTCCTGGCGCCGACGCTTTGTCGCCTGCTGCTGCTGCTGCTGCTGCTGCTGCTGCTGCTGCTGCTGCTGCTGCTGCTGCCCCGGCCGCTGCTGCTGTTCTGGCTGCTGCTGCTGCTGCTGCTGCTGCTGCTGCTGCTGCTGCTGCTGCGGCTGTTGCTGCTGGTCCGGCCGCTGCTGCTGCTTCTGCTGCTGCTCCTCCGGCTGCTGCTCCTGCTGAATCTCCTCCGGCTGCTGCTCCTGCGGCTGCTCCTCCGGCCGCTGCTGCTGCTCCTCCGGCCGCTGCCGCTGCTGCTGCTCCTTTGGCTGCTGCCGCTCCGGCCGCCGCGCCCCGGCCTGCTGACCTTGCTGCACCTCCCCTTGCAGGGGCTTTGCCGCCACCAAAGTGCTGCTCGGCTCACCCTTTTCCCTGGCCCCCGGCAGACGCTTCGGCTCCCGCTCCGTCTGCTGGCCCCCCGCAGCTGCTCCCGCTGCGGCAGGCATCCTCTGCGGAGCCGCACCGGGCGCCCCGCCGACTCCACCCTTGGGCGCCGGGCGCACACCCGCTGGCCGCTGGGCGGGAGGCAGCTTGTCGGGGGGGAGCAGCTGGACTGACCGCTTGGGCTTCTTGGTCAGCAGCTTGCTGGGGGAAGGCTTGAGGAGTTTGCTGACAGGCTTGGCCGTGAGCTGGACCTTGCTGCCAGAAATCTGTGGCCCCGCACTGGCAGCGGCCGCCTGCGAGGTCGCCGGCCGAGGTCGCTCCTGGGACGGCCGCGGCTGCGGGGCCGGCGCCGCTCGCGCCGCTGCGGGCGACGCCGGGGGTTTCGCTGCTGGCGCTGGGGGGCCGCCCTGGGGCTGACCCCTGCCGCTGTCTGCGGCAGCAGGGCCGGCCTTGCGCTTCTTGCCTGGCCGCTCCTCCTGCTGCAGGTCACGATGCTGCTTCCCCTGCTGCTTTCCCTGCTGCTTGCCCTGCTGCTTGCCCTGCTGCTCCCGCTGCTGCCCCGCCTGCTGCTGCTGCTGCTGCCCCTGTGCAGGCACGGTTGCCGCAGGCGCTCTCCCCTCTGCGGGCGTTGTCGCCAAGTCTGGGGCAGCTGATGGTTTGGAGAGGGCGTCGCCTTTTCCCGGGCCCACTGCAGGCGGCGCCTTGTCCAGGTGCTGAGCCGCATCATTTGAAGGTGCAGAGGGCGGCGACTGCGAAGAGGCGGTACGGCGCTCCAGGGTGCTGGTGTGGCCGTTGGCCACGCCGCTCGTGCCCTCCATGGTGGCCCTGTTGCAGCTGCTGCTCCTGCTGCCGCTGCTACCTGTGCTGTTGCTCTTGGCACGCGTGGGTGTCGGTGGTGCCCTTGGTGGCGCTTGTACTGCGGTTTCCAATGGAGGTGTAAAGGTATCGTGCCACAGCCGGGCTGGGGGGCATCTTCTGCAAGCTACGCGCACAGTGCTCGCGAACGTGTGCTGTGCGACGAACGCCTAGGCTGCGCTGCTTCAAGTTGCAGACTCGAAGCAAACAGCGCAAGCTTTGCTTTCATGAAGCTGCGTATGAGAAGCGATCATAGTACCATGCGCAGTGACCCGAGCAGATCAGGCGGGGTATGCAGCAGAGCTGCCGCGGGGCGGGATAACTTCATACAGAGTTGTTGACTGGTATTTGTGTGAACTTTTGTTACAGCTCGCGCTGCGAGCTTCATTCGCTGCTTGACGCCGGACACAGTAGGTGTCACCAGGCTACTGAGCTACCAGTCAGAACGGGGTACGAGCAGGTCCCCACTCTTCGACCATTGTCAGGCGGGCGAGGCTTCAGCAGGTTGGTCATCAAAGCTCGTGATGCCATGGCGCATACAGCAGCAGGCGTGGTGGCTCTCACGTCTCACCTGCAAGTGGTACGATCCAGGCCCAGGCCTGGTTTGACCAGTGTTGACCCTTCGGAAAAACACACGCCAGTGCACAAGGAGAGTTGGATCAGCACCAAGCACACAGACTATCATTTTTCAAGGGCATGACATAACGTGCTGAGAGTGAGCCAGGAAGTCGTGCACAATTGTTGTTTGTAAGGGGCTCCAACATGCAACTGACTGCGCGGGGGGGCATGAACGGGCGCCCTCGCTCACAATCTCTATGCAACGAAGGTGAGACTGCGATTCTATGCAAGGAAGTTTGGAAATTTAATGCTGTGACGTATCACACCAGCAGATCAGACATGCACCTGCCAGAGCACCGCGCATCTCCCCCCAAACGTACTGCAAGATCGATTGTTGCCATTATTTTCGTACTACAATTGTGTGCCTTTCAAGCAAGGAGCGCAGGGCCCTCCATAGAATTGAGTTGGTTTGGTGCAGGGATGGCAGCGCTGACCTTGCGCCCGCGCCCATGCTTGCCCCTTCACCAACTGCTTAGGAGGTTGCAACGAACGAAATTGGAATAGGCCGGTCCCATGACTTGAAGCAATGGCCTTCGTGCTTGCATAGTTACGTTGAAGTCAGGCCACCATGCATGGGCGCTTTACGCACGCATACCATTGGGTACGTATAATTTCGTGTTGGGTGGTGGTCACCGCCCTATATATGCATATAGGCGCGACCAAGAGTAAAGGACGGATATAAGCGCCTGAACAGCAATGCTTTTTTGCAAATGGGTAGCAAACTTGCCAAAGACCACCGTTGCATGCCGCCCGTGTTGCGCCACAGCGAGGGGCGGGGGCAAATAACCTGAACTTGGGGCGCCCAACTTGCTTGGGTTCCTATATATGTGCTGTAAAAAGAACGATGGCCAAGTAAGCCGGAGCAATCTTGATGTCCAGCAGTACAACTTGCGGACGTGTGATGCACATGCACAGGGATGACATAAATCGACACTGCACGGGCAACGATGTGTGCTCGGGTGGCCGTGAATGCAGTTGTGTCGTGAGAAGTGGTGGCTTTCTGGTTCAGTAGTGCGGAAATGTGCATGAAGTACGACGTGGTTCCAGTGCATACACGCGCTTGCAAAAGGTGCACGGCGCAAGCGAGCAGGGCACCCACCGGTGCAGGCACCAACGCTCAAGTCGAGTATTTTTTGGGGGCTGTGCATTCCATTAACGAGTAGTCGTGGGTACTAAAATATAGTAATTAGAAAGCGACGATTCACTTGCCCTGTGCAAAAGTGCTGCGGACAGCAAAGCGCCTGTTGTGCACAATGGGCGCCAGTGCACAAACAGGTCAGCCAGGGCCTTTGTAACCTCCGACACCTGCTGATGAAGAAGAAGTGGCTGTCCTGTCCACGAGTGCGTCGTGCAGGTGCAGCAAGGAGGGCTTGGCAGTGTTGCAGTACACGCACCGGCAA